GCAGGGTGCTCCTGAAATGAAGATATCCAATTTCAGAGCATTTAGGAGAACTGTGCATTCCTTATAGGTGTCCAGACAGTTAAAACTCATGAAGATTAGGATGTCATTATTGTTGGAAGTAGAAAAATATCATATTTACATAAAAATGGAGGGTTGTTTCCTGATATCTGAAAAAGCTGAAGATAAATAATGATTCAGAATATCCACTCTTTTTGAAGAGGAAGACAACACCTCTGTGTTTTTCTGAAGAAAAGTATGATCCCCAGTGCTTTGGGATCCATAAATACTGACACTGGCAAACCCTAGAATCCACACATTTTATAAGTAGTCAGAATTTGATTCTATTAATTTTTTTATTTTGCAGGCTACACACAACAGGAAATATTGGTGAGCCTCTCAGAAAATTCTATGAACAGGATCAATCTTTAATTAAAAGAGTCTCATGAACTAAATTCAGAACAGCCTGCTGCAACTATATAAAACTGACTTCCTCATTCTTACTCAAACCTATTTGCAAATAAGCAAAGTACTAAATGAATACTGTTGCACCTTGCGCAGTAGCTAGAAAGTCCTCAATAAATATTTGCTGAATGAATGGATAATTAAGAATCTTAGCAGGAGTTAAGAATTGCTACTTACATGTTTATCTTTTATTTGTACTCTGTGTATATTTTTTAATGCTTAATACTGAATTCTTAGCTTGTTGTTCATATAGATAAAACCATTTATGTTCTAATGCAGTGGTTCCATAAATTGATCCAATGCACTAGGGAACTTTTTCAAAAGGTAGATTCCCAGACTACCCCCAGAATAATGATTAAGTTGACTTAGAATGGAAGTGACTTGGTAATATGTACTAAATTTTAAAGCTCTCTGAGTGACCTTAATATCAGCTGAGTTTGGGAACAATTTAACACGTAGTGAATACAGAAAAAATCTGTAAGATATAGAAACTCAAAGTTGAAAGGGACTTTAAAAGTTATCTAGCCAAATAGGATTAATTGCTCAAAATCTCATCAGAATTTAAAAAGGAAGTTACCACGGCTTTTTTTCAAGTGGCCTGCTGACTATATTCTTGGCCTGGGAATAATTCAGATTAATAAATATTTAAACTATAAAATTTGAATTCTAGGTAATATCTAATAGAGTTGAAGACACTTACAGAACACGTTACTAGAGCTGACCAGTATCTAGTTCGCCTCTCCTTCCTAGGTACACAGAAGGCTATTTATGCTTGAAATTAGGTGGGGCTGTGGGGAAGTGACATGCGTCACTTGTGAACCACAGCACAGAAGAATGGCTCTGAGCTCTCCCTACACCGTCCTCCCCCACTGCAGCAATCACCCAGGCCGCCGGTTAAGGTGGTGAAGCCAGAAGACTGAAGTGGCCTGGACCACTGAATCACTACCCAGAGTCCGCTGCTCCAGAGTCATCCAGTCCACAGACTGTATGAGTGACAAATAAACATTTACAAGTTGAACCACTGAGATTTGCGGGTTAATTTGCAACTACATTATTATGTGCTCTGTCCTCATTATGAAATATTCATTTCCTAGAATGCCATAGTTACCCTCCTACCTTAGAGAATTTCTCCATATGAGCACGATCACATCAGTGTTGCAGGTTGTAGCTAAAAACTGGAAATAATCTTAATGTCTATCAATATAAGAATTGTAATATATATACTACTTGTGATGTATCTTTCAATGGAATACCATTTAAGATTTTGGATAAATCTCAAAAACATTATTTAATAAAGTAGTAAACTTGCAGAAGGATATGTAGGGCATGATCTTTTTTTTTTTTGGCATGATCATTTTTATATAGTTTTAACAAATTTGATTGTATGGGTGCATAAACATCTAGTAAAAGTATAAAAACATGTACAGAGTGATAAATACCAAATAAATATTAGTGGCCACCCTGTGGGAGAGAGAAAGGGTAATTAGATCAAGAAGAGGAACATACGGGACCACAACTTTATCTAATCTATAATTGTTTTTATTTTTTAAAAAGATACAAGGTAAATATAATAAAATAAGAACCAATAAAGAAAAAATTTAGGTGCTAGTTCTTAGTTCTCAATCCCAGATGGCATTTCCATTTAAATTTCTAACAGAAACTATATATGGGAAGGGCTTTTTTAATAAATAGAGAAGAAACCTGAGGTCAAGTTCACCCTAAGAGGGCAGAATGGAGCCACAGAACACCAGGAATGCTCAGGAATTAGAGACATCTGGTACCTCTGAAAGATGGGGGAGAGGTTACATTAAAAATAAGAGGACTGGTTGAAAGTCTGTATAAGAAGTAGCAAATTCCCATCAAATTTCTACCTCTTCCGGCCCCACTCCTTAACACCACACAGCAAGATGATCACTCTTCTCTAGGCCCAGTAGGAAATCAGAGGTTACTCTCTAGTCAAACTGATCAAAAAGTCTCTGAACTCAGAAACATCAAGTAAAGGTAGGGGTAGGGCCCCTGAATGAAAATGAAGAGATTTATTTTTTTTTCCAAGCCAAACTATATCCAGCTTTAGTAAAGATGAAAATAAAGAGATTAACCAAAGTCTACACTAAACTGTTGGATTTCCCAACATACTTCTTCTGGTCAAGATTCACATAACTTTTGACCCAACAACTGTACCTCTTGTACAGAAGAAAGAAGCCAGGAACCAGCCTGTGCAAACTTGGAAACTTCATTTTTGACAATGTTGGCATTGTAGGTCAGTAGGGACCCAGTAAATGGTCCTCAGACAAGTTATTATTCAAATCAGGATGCGGAGAGAGGGAGGAAGAGAGAGAGAGAGAGAATTGGATAGGCTATATCACACCATACACAAAAATCCATTCCAGATAACTAAAAACATATATGAAAGGGACATCTTCGAAACCTAAAGGGGAAAAAAAAGGAGAAAACCACTATAATGTTGAGGCAGGCATGGCCTTTTTTTTGTACAACATAAAAAACACTAACCAAAAAGAGAAAAGATTAACAAATTTAATAACAAATAATGGATTATAAGCAATAGATAAATAGCCCTAGAGAACACAGTGGGAGCTGAGGGAGTATGTTTTCACCCAACAAGAAGAAAGCAATGGGAAACTGAAGGAAAACAACAATAACAACCAAAACTGTACAAGAAAGTCAACCCGGTTAGAAAACCAACAGGCATGATTTTGAGCAATCAATGGTACATAAGAAAGAAGAGCCCAGTGAGCTCTGATGAGAGAATAACTGCACAGGGATCGTGACACTGAACTACACAAAAGGATACACAGAATCACAGCACACTATTTGTGTAATGAATGATATTAACTGTAAATGCTGTTATTTGGTTTTCAACTTTTATTTATTTATTTTTTTGAGACAGAGTCTCACTGTGTTGCCCGGGCTAGAGTGCTGTGGCGTCAGCCTAGCTCACAGCAACCTCAAACTCCTGGGCTCAAGTGATCCTCCTGCCTCAGCCTCCCGAGTAGCTGGGACTACAGGCATGCGCCACCATGCCCGGCTAATTTTTTCTATATATTTTTAGTTGTCCAATTAATTTCTTTCTAATTTTAGTAGAGGCGGGGTCTCGCTCTTGCTCAGGCTGGTTTCGAACTCCTGAGCTCAAACAATCCGCCCGCCTCGGCCTCCGAGAGTGCTAGGATTACAGGCGTGAGCCACCGCGCCTGGCCCCGGTTTTCAACTTTTAGATGTAACCCCTAATAAATCTCAGAAGACTTAGTTATGGTCATAGAAGAAAACAGAAATACTATCAGTTTTGGAAATATAAAAGTAATGGCGTAGATGGCAGAAGTTAGGAGGCAAGCAGAGACAGAAGTAAACAGAAGGTACTACTTCTCTCAGTTTACCCAGCTGAAGTGGAAAGAAGTTACAAGAAACAGAGTTTTAAGAATATTCTTTAAAATTACAAAGGTAACGAATTAAAAAGTGGTGATATAATTTTGAAAAACTGGGATGGGTTGGTACGTAGAGTTATAAATGAGGTTGATTCCTTACACCACAAAAGGAATCAAATAATGTTTAAAACCACTAAGTCAAGAAACAGCACTCTAAACATATTATTTAGAGATATAACTACTAGTAAACCCAAAGGACAGTGAAATGTGGGAAGGTATGTTGCATTCTTTATAAGCTATTCTATTCTGTATGACTGAATTTTTAATCCACATGCACGTATTATTTTAATAAATATAGAAGGTTTTTAAATAATTGAAAGAAAAAAGAAAACATAAAGATTCCCAAGAGCTCATCTAGTCAAACTACCTTCTAACAGCTAAGTAAAAGAAAATGGATGTCCACTCCAACAGAAAAACTTCTAAATACCTGATAAAGACTAACGATCCATAACTCTACCAACTTATTCAGCAGAGCAAACTTAGTATCATCATTTCATTCAGAGTGAAGAAATCAGTTTAGAGACTGAATCTTATCCTTCATTGTTTCTCTTCCTTTTTATCTTTCCTCTTTTTTCTATTTCTCTAATTTTTTGTTCCCCTCTACCCACCCTTGCTTTATTTAGCATGAATATTCAATTAAATATATATATAAAACACTCTAGTTTTATTTGTAAAATACAGTCTTATATTTCTTGATTTTCTTTCCATACAGAAAAAGCAAATTAAGTTGTTTTTCATTTCCACGTTGTCTAAATTAAAGTCTCTATGGGGACTACTACTGTAGAGAAGAAATAATCTCTACCACTGATTTAAGGCAAGAACACACAAACAACAAAAGGCAATCCAGCTAAAACTAGCACAATAATTACTCTTCAACGGATTCACGTTTCTGGAGACTACTATATTACTTAGGCTTTAGGAATCAGGAGCCAGGTTTCCATGCAGATATTTATGGTGATTTAAAGAGAAGGAAACTTGAAGTCTAAGTTCCCTAAAAGGAAACTAAATACCAGAAAGTTAAATGTTCATTTCTGGTGATATCAGTTTTGATCCAAAGGCCCCCATTTTAGCAGGATCCACATCCAGGTGTATACTTACACTATATGTGCAAGGTCAAGTGGTTTCTCTGGTTGCTCAGGAAAAACAGGATGTGGGGGTTCTCTCGTGGGTACACACCCCAGAGACTTACTAATTGCATGGCTCAGCTTCTTTGCAGGGGATTTCTGTGTCAAAGTAGAAAATAAGGAAATAAGGAATTAACCTTTCAAAAGAACTTGGTGACAAGAGTGTAGAAAATATCTTTTCAAATAAAAATCAAGTTTCATAATAGTCAATATTATTGGGTCTTGCAGAAAGGAACCTGCAGTTGTCCCAAAGTCATTTGTGGTTCCTTCATTTCTGCAGTTTCTACATCATTTCTATTACAAAGTCACACTATCAAGTAATGTTAACTTCCTAGACATCTCTATGTACTCTTTGCATGAACTCACCCTTTTGATGCTTCTGAGTCATTTCTCATAAGATGTTAAAGTTAATTCCTCAATCAGAGTCAACTTTTTGATGGGCTACAATACTAAAAGCTAAGAGGACATGGCTTACATACATTAGCAAATTAGCTGACTAAGCTACATCTCAAAATGTTAGGCTATTCCCAAATAAATGTGAGGCAGAACATTTGTATTAAGCATCTGTAGACAGATACACAGTCACTCACATACATAGGCAGTCAGCCCCAGAATCGTGACTCTATATTATGATACACTAAAGGCACAAAAATAAATTGGCTTATCAATGCATTTCTCTGGAAGGTAGAGTAATACACACCAAATCCAAAGACTACTAAGATTTAATACTAAATATGCACAAAAGTAAACAATATGCCACAATGAAGTTAAATAGAACATTCACTTCTAAAACCTATATTTAAAGGAGGTTTTTATATACAGATTATATTGTCTACCCAATTCCCTTAAAATAACACCGCTGTCTGAAATTTTCTTGGCAGGATATTAACTGCAAAAAAGTTTAAATACTTCATTCTACTGCCTCTGCAGTTTATTACCATATGTGCCACTTTAATTGGAAAATAAAACTCATTTGCAGCCATGTGCCTCATCAACACCACGTCTCTGCTTGACTTTTATATGCTGCTTGCTGTAGTATTTTAACACAAAATACACAAAACTCTGTTTGCCTTTAAGACCATATAGGCAAAGTAAATTAGTATTTGTTTATAATAAAGGCTGAATAATACAATTTTTTCATAAACTTCACATATTGGCTCCAAATCACCTACCAGTATCCCCTTCAACACATTAAATTCTGGGAAAAGTCAAGATGTAACCTAATTTCCTGCAAATCATAAAAGCTAAACAAAGCAGAAATTCTAAATTTCTCTCCTAACTTCTTTCCATTTTCCCTCTATCCAATAACTAGCTGCAATGTGACTCTGATTCTTCCCTTTTAATCCACCTTCTGCACTGCCCAGAGATCATGTCACTCTTCTGCTTAAAATCTTTCAAAGGCTGATAATCATTTATAGAATGAGATCTAAATAAATGCCTTCATTTTCCATACAAGAGCTTTCACACCTGGCTCCTGCTTCTCTTTCCTTCTACTTTGCATAAACAGTGAGCTGCTCACAATTAACCCAATACACCACATTCTTTTAGGTCTCTGTACCTTGGCACGTGCCATTCCTAGGTCACCTTTTTCCCACCATATCTTTCTGTAAATTTTCTGCTCAACTCTCAAGCCTGCTTGCAAGTACCCCTTTCTCTGGGAAGACTTTCCTCATTGTTCCCTAAGTCAGCAACTGCCTTTCCAGGCTACCCATTTACCTTATACATATTTCCACTCTTTCACTTACTATGCTATGTTGCAATTTTTATTTGCTTATCTCTGTTATACAGGTGCTTCTGAAGGGTTGGATCTACATTTTATTTATCTTTGTATTTCCAAAACCTGTCCTACAATACGATATGTATTTGAACAAATTATTTGCCTAGATGAATTTTCCAGATTGCTTTTTCTTTTTCTTTTTTTTGAGACAGAGTCTCACTCTTTTGCCTGGGCTAGAGTGAGTGCCGTGGCGTCAGCCTAGCTCACAGCAACCTCAAACTCCTGGGCTCAAGCAATCCTTCTGCCTCAGCCTCCCGAGTAGCTGGGACTACAGGCATGCTCCACCATGCCTGGCTAGTTTTTCCTATATATTTTTAGTTGTCTGATTAATTTCTTTCTATTTTTAGTAGAGACGGGTCTCGCTCTTGCTCAGGCTGGTTTCAAACTCCTGAGCTCAAACAATCCGCCCACCTCGGCCTCCCAGAGTGCTAGGATTACAGGCGTGAGCCACCGTGCCCAGCCTCAGATTGCTTTTTCTTAATAAAACCATGTAAACTTTATTTTTTGAGAATTATAAGAGACAGAGGACAAAGAGAATATCTTAATTCATCTTTATAACTAAATACTATATCTTTAATCCAGGTATTAATTTAATGATTTTTTTGCTATATATGAGAACCCCCAGGACCATTAATTCATGCAATCTATGTGAGATGGATTATCATACACACTACTTTAGCTCCATTCCAACCAATAATAGCCATGAAATCGCAGGTTTCATGTGTATTTTTTATAATCAACATCAAAATAACTACATGATTATTAAATAAAAAATGTTTGTCTTTGTGCTACCTAATATTCTCTAGCAGTATGTTTGTGATGTTCTTGAAAATACTGTTTTAAGTCAAGGTCTAGATTTAGGATTAGATCCAATTTCAAGCCTCAAAAATATAGATAGAAAGGTAAAATCGATCTATCAAATTGACATCGAGGTCAATTCCAAATAATTAAACCACATAAGGAGAAGCTTGATTTGTATGGGAAGGAAAAAAAACTGGAATAAATACATAAAAGAATTAAACGATTAACTAAAGTCTGGAACCAATCCAAAAAGGATATTACCCTGAAAAATTTAAAGCTATGCATTCAATTAGGTTGTCTAAACATATAAATAAGTGATTTTCTTAAAAAGATCTCACAATACGGATCTGAAGTGAATTTTGATAAGGGGTTAGTTTAGGAACCTAACATTAACAAAGTTTCCGAGCATGACTTTGAAAAATACCAAAAGGACATCACCTCTTCTGTCTACTCAGCCCCAGGACAAAGCCCAGAGTTAGGAGTCAATAACTAAATATTTAAGGAAGTGAAGGAGTGATGAAGAAAGAAAAGTAGTCCAAGTGTAGGAACTGGCATCTTCTACACTTCATTTAAGCTGCTTTGTCAGAGATGCTCTTTGAGGTCTCTGTACTTTCCCCCAACTTGGACTCTAAAACTGATGTAATGGAGAAGCCTTAATGTAGCAAATCAAATCTTCTCTAAATACTCTTAGGCAATAATTTTCAATCTTTTTGCATTTTCAATACTTTAATCCACTTTAACTAATTTCAAAACATTTCCTACCATTTCTTAAAAATACTACAGGTTATATTTTTAAAATATACAAGAAGGGTATAAAATCTGTATGTACAGTTTAAAAAGTTATAAAACAAATGCCCAACTACCCACTATTCTGCCTGGGAAATAGAACATTATAGTCACTCCAAACCTTGTTATGGGCCCTTACCCTAATGCTACATCCCATTCCCACAGTGCCTCCTCCTCTCCTGATATTCACTGTCCTGGATTTTGTATTAATCATTTCCTTGATTTTATTATGTTAGCAATTATGTATGAATAATACATTATTTGGATAGGTTTAAAACCTATATAAACCTACATATCTGTAGTCTTCTGCAGCTGGCTTCTTTCACTCAAAGTTTTGTTGTAATTCATCTGTGTTGATGCCTGTAATTGCAATTCACTCATTTTTTCACGGCTTGATGGTGTTTCACTGCTTAATTACATCATAATTTATATATCCATTTCACTGCCAATGAACATTTGGGTTGTTTCCATTTTTGCCCTATCATTCACAATGCTGCTATAACTTTCTTGTCCATGTCTCTTAGTAGCCATGAGTTAGAATTTCATAAGAGTGGAATTATTGGGTCATAGGGTTACGCACATTGAATTTTACTAAGCACTGCCAATTTGTTTTTACAAAGTGGTTACACTGATGGGGTTTCCACTCCCATCAGCTGTGTGAGAAAGTTTCTTAAACGCCACATTCTGGCAGACATTTTAACCTTTGCCAAGCTGGTGGGTGATAAATAGTATTGTGGTTTTAATGTGCAATTCCTTGCTTATTAAAAAGATTGAGCATCTTCTCTTAAGCTTATGGGCCATTTGTGCTTCTTCTGTGAAATGCCTGTTCCTGTCTTTGCCACAGTGTTGCACTGGATTACCTTTTTCTTACTGATTTGTAAGAGTTCTTTGCATTAATAGTTTTTATAGTTTAACTCTAGGAAAGTTATGTCTTACAACTCCTATTTTGAGGCTTATTTTTCACTCTGTTATGTTTTTGGTGAACATCTTTAAATACTGGTAGTCCCAATTTAGCAATCTTTTCCTTTATGTTTTGTGCTTTTTGTATCTTAAGAAATATTTCCCTTCCCGAGGTCATAAAAATATTCTCCATTATCTTCTAAAGTTTTATAGCTTTTACCCTTCATATTTAAATTTGAATCTACTTAGAATTGACTTTTTGATCAACATGAGGAAAGAATTCAATTTTATCCTCTATGCATAATCAATTGTCTCAGAATCATTTAATAAATAGTCCATTCTTTCCCACTAGATACTCTATTTCTATCCCTGTAACAATTATCAGCGATTTCATTAGTCCGGCTTCCTCTTTTCTTTTCAAGTAGTGCAAGTGTCCCAAACTTATGTTCTTTGGGGAGTATCTTCATTGTTCTTGGCCCTTTACTCTTCCACCTAAATTTTAGAATCAGTTTGTCATTTACCACAAAAAAAATCCTGTTGGAATTTCAATGGGAACTGATCAAATCTACAGATAATTCTGGAGAGAACTGACATTTTTACACACTGAACATTACTTTCCATGAATGTGTTCATCTTCCCATGTATTTAAACCTTCTTTAATGTCTTTCAATAAAGTTTTAAATTCTTCTCCATAAAGGATCTATGCATCCATTTTTTATTTCTAGTTATTTTATAAAAAGATTTTGTATCCAGCAACCCTGTTCTCTATTTTTTTTTAGTTGTGGTAAAACACACATAAAATTTACATCTCAATCATTTTTAAATGTACAGTTCA